CATCTTCATCTTCATCTTCATCTTCATCTTCATCTTCATCTTCATCTTCATCTTCATCTTCATCTTCATCTTCATCTTCATCTTCATCTTCATCTTCTTCTTCATCTTTATCTTTTCCCTTATCCTTAGATAAATATGTCCATTCCTTTCTTCATTTACATATTCACCCCCACCATTATAAGGTTAGGTATTTAAATTTTCCTTCCTCTTTGTCTTTATATTTAGGTTTCTGTACTTTTATTTTAATTTCTGTATTTATGCCTTCATTCATTTTTCTCTTTCTTTTACATGGAATTCGCTATTATATTATACTATATGTAGTTGTCTTTTTTCAATCAAATATTATTATGCGATTAATAACGTGTTGTATAACGCAAAGAGTGGCAAATGGATATGGCTTATATGCAAATGTGTTGCTTTTTATTGACAATTTTTTAAGTGTCTTGGAAAATGCTCGCCAAACACTAACGTATGTGTAAGCGCCAATCTATTATTATTATTATTGGAGAATGCGTTAGGTCGTCCTTACTGGGTAGCACGCTTCTGAAATTCAGTATCAATATTAAAGCATACATTTAGGGGGCATTTCCGCCCCAGCCATGTAACTACATGTATGAGATTGGTATTGGTGTGACCTTTGAGTTGTTTTCTTTCGCTCTATTTTAAACTAATTTGAAATTGCCTGCACATCAGCATCAAAATACCTTTCTAGTGATATATAATTCTTTATACCCTAGAAGTATAGTTTAGCCGTAAAAGTGGTGTATAGGAAACATGATTGCCTATTTATATAATTGATGATATCACCTAGTCTACCGAAATAATTCTTTTTCCATGTATTACTTTTAGCTCTTCTGTCTTGTTATTTGTTAAAATAATTTGTGTTTTATATTTGTTGACTATCTTCTCTTTGATATAAAAGTGATCATGCAAATGTTCTTCAGCTGAATGGACCGTTTGCATTGACGCATCATCCTCTAGATCGTCGATTATGTTTGGGTCGTATTTAATATTTTCGACAGTATTTTCACCCTCCTCCTTGTCTTTAATAACGTCCTCGTAGTTTTGTATTCTACTAAGAAAACTCGCTACTCTGTTTTCCTTTCCTTTAATATATTCTATGTG